GGTTTACTTGTAGTTCTTCTTGGCCTATTTCAGATTAAACACATTGTACCAAATGATATATATATATATGGAACCATTACTCGTGGCCATCTCGACTCTAATTTAAGGAAGCGCTCAGTACATAATTACTCTCATGTGGAACGCTTTTTGGATATTAAACTGGTTACTCAGACAGAATTCCAAACTGACCCTTAATAACGAATTGCTACTGTACAAACGACTTGTAAGTCTCATTTGAAGCTTTTGTACACACTAATGGGAAACTACATCCGAAATGCAGCACATCCATAATACAACGGCTATGAATCGTTCGTAATCTACTCAGACATAGAGACCCAAACATAGCAAAAGCCCTCAAAGAAATTTCCAAATACAGTCATTGACTACCTAGACAGACTTGGAAAGCATCTACATTCCCTGGCTATCCGACGACACCCTTCGTTTAATCTATCCATTTTATAATTAGTAATTAGCATAATCCTGTATATTAACTCAAACTGACCAGTTATACACCCTCACTTAGCATACAATAAAGTCTAAACTAGTCACCTCTCTCTCTCTACCTCTCATTGTCTTCTTCTACACAATAGTTCTCTATTCTAGCACCTGCTGAAAGCCCAATGTTTTACTGCATTCATCAACACCTCTGTGGTCACAGACGAGTTATTTAAGATTACCTGTCAGCCCACAAGCCAAACATTTCTCAACTCATGCTGATAAAAAAAAAACCCCAAAATAAACGAAGAAATATAACTCAACTTTCCAATGACCCCATTTCCCAGTTCAGCTTCAATTCCCTGCCTTATATACGTACGTATATCTCTCGGTTATCTGGTGCGAAGCCTATATACACACTTGTTTCTTTAACCCATTTGGCCCGAGACACGCACGCATCCGTTAGCCAGGCCCTGCAAAGAGAGGGTGGAGACTTGACACATAAATCTCTTTAATTGCCTCACGCAACGCGAAACTGAAGACTTCAGACTTCCAAGTCACAAAGGTGTCTTGCAAGCGGCAATTAATTAAAAGACAGCGGCACTAAATTAATTTAATGCCTATCTTCGAATCACACACAAAATCGCCGTTTCATCATTAACACTTCGCCCAGCCAAGTCACAGTCGAGAAAAAGCTGAATGAACTTAGCTCATATATCATAAAACTCAAGTTCCAGCTGCAACATATTGCATTTATCGGAAGTATTCAATGGGAAAAGGCAAGACCTTGATATCTAGAACGATTAAGCCGCAGATTATATATTAAACACATGTGCAAGATTGGTCAAGAGGCAAATGTTCGACTAGCAGATACCCTGGGAGTTGCCATGGCAACTATGGCTGGGTAGATCGACTCAGCTTGACAGAGCTGGTATATATGAATATATACTTTATGGCGTCTGACCGGCTCTCACTTAACTCCTTCCCAATTACAATTCCCATTACAAAAAAAAAGCACTCTTAAAGCTATCTATCTATCAATTACTCAAAAACCGATGACTTTCCATTTATCGATTTAACAGAATAGAAAGTTATATCGATATAGAAATATTTATATCAACACAAATTGAGTAATTAAAACATGCAACTGTCACTGTCCACGCTTAACACACGACAAAGAAAAGTTCTAATTGAAAACAGGGCGTGGGTACGAAGGCGGGTGCCACTGTTTACCAGTGACCGTTAGATAAACATCAATGTCGCTTGCATTTGCTTTTTGTATATGTTTAAATAACGGTAAAAAGTGTATCCATGACTGCATGATGCACGCATTCACGCCCATTCTCCCTCCCCTCCACACCCTGCAGACACAGAAGACAAAAAAGTTGCTGAATAATGGCCACGCCCCGAACGCCCAGCCGACATATTAAAGCGTGTAATTAGTTTTGGATAGATAGATAGCTTCATATGCGAGGGTAAAACTCCGCATGGTGCAGTTTTTCCCGTTGATTGACTGACAGCAGGCACTGTCAGTTAAAGCGGCAGACAGCGTTTGCAGCTCAGGCCGGAGGTCAAGTGCAGCTGAAGCTTAGACTCTGCCGTAATGGAGATTCTATGCCTAACCCACACCCACGCTCCAACACTGTTGTTGTTGTTGTCATAGCGATAAGAAATGCCTGCCTATGCCGCTGCACTTGAAATATGAAATGCTCGGCAGACAGCCAAGTCCATGGGCATAGTTTGTAGAATACCTCGGGTTTTTCCGGGTTGGGGTTTATGCATCTACGTTATTTACAATGCGCCGCATGCAAAGCCAAAATCAATAACAATTAGTTGGCAGTTTATGCAGGCTTTATAAAGCTAGGGCGGGAGCTGCCGTGGTGCACAGTTAAGTTGATTTTAATGCAGCTGTCAAGACAAACGGAAAAGCAGCTTAAAGCGAGTTTGTCTGAGAAATGAAGAGCGTGCTCCCTCGATCTGCCTTTATACTATGTATCTAAGAGCTCTATCTGTATCTATATATCTTTTATCATAGTTAATCTCTTTAAGCCAGCACTTATTGCAACTATTTAAGCTACCGATTTACCTTTCTATCTTAGATCTCTATAATATATATCTCTTTATATAGCTACCTTCTCGGTTTGTCCCTCTCTATCTGTGTTCCAACTAATTAACCAATCTCTCTCTCTCTCTACCTCCCTCTTTGTATCTATGATCTCCTTTCCCAATCCATTTCTATTGCTCGCTCCCGATCTGTAATGCTTTAACCCTAAACACAGTTCCACTATTCAAGCAATCTCTCTCTGTCTGCTTCTTGCTCTCTATGTGAATATCTATATTATCTTAGGTAATATCTTTCTCTTCCTCTCCACGTCACTCTCTCGCTATTAAAGCAGTCTTCTTCTTTTCTCTCTCAATAACAACCTATTTAAGAACTCATAAGTTCCCACTATTCCTATCAATCTAAGACAAAGCTTATGTTAATATATATATTAGGTAAGAGAGGAAGCTGTGTTGCATAGCTTCCTCTCATGCTTAATATCTATCTTTGCCCTCTCCCTCTCCAGCTGTCTCACACTCTCTCTCAATCATGCTTCAAGCCCACACAAATTCCAACTATTTAAGCAATTGAACAAACATTTATCAATCAAGCTTAACAATTAGTTGGGTAAAGCAACAATCACCCTTCCTGCCGTCGAAGCATAGCTAAACGATAATGCCTTTATTTATTCATTGCTTAGCAATCCCAAAATGCCGCCTCTACCCCAAGCTACACATTTCTCACATATGCCAAAGTTGGAAAACATTTCTCAGACTCGACTCATAGAATCGATGCGGGTTTCACAGACGCCCCCGCCGCATGGGTTTCATGCCTTTTCGTTTGTTATTCATAATTTGATACTTTTTTATGTTTTTGTTTTATTTCTTTGGCAACTAATTGAATTTCAGTCCAAGTTCTTGGCGCCTTATGACATCATCAGCAAATTTTCAATTCATTCCCATGGCATAATTTTTTAGGGGAGCGGCTGCCGCTGCTGCTATGTAACGAAATCCTTTTGGGCAAATCTCAGACTCACAAGTCGTATTAAATTGTATTAACAACAAATTTATTGCATTTGTTAACAGACTTGACAACGTGCTCAATTGCTGAAGGGGGGCGGGGCGCACAAGTGAGGCTTATATTGACTGAAAAGCCACGCACTGCTGGAAAACCAGCTAACACACCCACACAGAGAAGGGTAAACGGTGACAGTTTGACAGAAATGTCAAATTGGCAGGCAAAACAGACAACAGCAACGAAATTTGAAAATTTGAATGAATGACTGTCGCAATGAATGAATCACAGACTGTGCGAGTGAGTGTGAGTGAGTATATTCACAATTGAACGCAGTCCTCGGGGTCTATGCAAATATTATGCATTTAGTCGGTTGCCAATGCAATTGGCAAACAAGGAAGCAATGCGGCAGCCACAGCAACTGCCTGTCAATTGAGCAAAATGAAGGAGACGACGCGACGTCGACGGCAGCAAAAGGTGGAGCAATGCGATGCTGCAGCAAACAGACGTCGCCGCCAGCAAGACGCCACAACAGTCAGCGCCAAAACTAGTAGGCGTAATGAGAGAGTGATGGACAAAGCTCATACCCTGTGAATAGATGGAGTAATACAGGCAGCAGCCTGCATTGTCTCTTGCATCTTTCTCTATACCTCTCCCAATATCCCCCACTTTTCTTATTCGTACAGGGTATAGCAAGCGGCAAATATTTCCACCAAAACGACAAGCCAACATTCGTCTAAACAAAATTAATGAAATTGCAAATGGAACTCGACATTTAACGAAATGAATGCTACAAATGGCGTATAATTGTTTGCTCAGGTGGTCAACAAACTAGGTAGACCAGGTAGACTTGGCCATTGAACTGTAGTTAGACAAGAGAATCCATCCATCTGTAATTAGCAACACTTGATGAGCCCCACACACGTGAGAAGCCCTCAAAAACAATGCTGTTGACCTCTTATAGAAGAAGGTTAGAAGATCTAAGCCCACAACGAATTGATAAACGTTGCATCGACGGGGCAACGACGATTGGGCGCGTCCACCTAATGAGATCTCATTAATTTGATAAAGACGATTAAATTATGCTTTGGCTTTTCATATGATAAATGAGCCAAGACTTCCATGCGGGCCTAAAATTTGTTGCTTTGAAGTTCACTTAAACGAATCACGTGATACCATGACAGAAAAAAGATCAATATATATATATATAAAATGAAGATCAGCATTCATTATTCTTGTCATTCATCATTTTAAGAGTGGTAAATGAAAGACCCTGCAAATATGATAATAGATGCTGATAAAAATCTAATTAGTATAACTCATTTTGACAATTTAAGAGACTTATTACAGTAGCTCTAGTAGGGAGTGCCCGACTAGGAAATACCTTGAGCTCTGTAAATCTGCTTCATATATTGTATAAACCCCTCTTTTTAAATCTATTATCAAACTATTTTTCCCATTGCTTCAATTTCAACATCTAGCATCTTCCTAAATATTATATATTGTATTCTTCATTCTTTGCTTTTTATTGCAATAGTGCTTTATAAATTCATACATATTTCTTAGCCTAAGTTCTGTTTTTTCCCTTTCTTCAACACATACTCCAAAGACTTCTTATTTGTCGAGTCCCGCATTGGCCTTGGTAGCAATGACACACTCCTCGCCACAGGCAGCCAATACGGTGCACAATAGATCTTTACCCTCTCCAAATTCTTGGCGTAGAAGGCCGCCTAAGTCTCCTTCGGGCACCTTGAGATCCTCACGGATCTCCCCATTATCGGACATTAGGGTAACAAATCCATCATCGCTGATATCGGTCAGCTGATAGTCTTCGCGCTTCACGTGCGGCACATCCATGTTGTGGGTCGAGGGGCAAATGTCCTCGTACTTCTTCTGTGTGAATATATCGATGCCGACCAGATGGACCTTGGCATGCCCATGCTTTCCAGTCTTCGAGGTGGACATATCCACGATTTTACACGGACGTCCCTTCAGCATGACGAATCCATTTTTACGCAATGCCGAACATTGCATGGGAAACGTCTTCGATGCACCCGAATCAACAGCATCAAATTGAATCTCATCATCATCGGCCATCGAAATGAATAAAAAAAAAAGAGTTCGATTTCTTTGTTTCTAGACTTTTACGAAAAATAAAATAGTTTAAAAGAATTCCGATTGTGAGCTCTACGTTGTTCAAACTGACCCAATGTTGGCAACTGAAACTCTGATAACAAAGTCAGCGTCGACTTCGATTGAAATCAATTTGAGTTTTCTCTTTCTCTTCACTTTTTCCGTTTCCAACTTGCAACAGTGGAAAAATTATTTATGACTCCCACTAGTTAGATTTGCATATACAATCGCATAGACAACTGCATTGCGAGAGCTCACAATTTATGCTTCCTCAAAATCCAAACTTGGCCAAAAGTCGTAAAACTGACGAAACGTCGCAATCTGAATACGATTATCATTCATTTATCATACGATAGTCAAACGCATATCCGGCATTTCTTCTTCTGCTTCTTCTTTCGCTGATCTGCACAACGAACGTGCGCATAATTAACACTTGTCGATCAAGTGGATTCAACTCAACTCGCAGTTCAAGTGGGAGTTTAACGACACGACTCTGGAATACCCTGACAATCTAGCGAAACTGTATCTCATTGGAAATGACTTCCGCTCATAATGGCTGAAAATACGTGGAAGTCAAACAAAATGCAAAAGAAATACTATAAAAACTGACAATACAAGGTATTCAGATATAAAATAAATAAATAAAGCTAATATAATACGTAGGATATGTCTTTCACCTACTTTCACGGAAAATAAGTGGAAATATTCAAACATACTAATCGACTAACAGACTAATCGACTAACTTAATTGAAGAATGTTAATCAAATATTTAAGAAGAGAAAATCTAGCTCAGCATTCGCCTCTGAAGACTTGAAAACATGCGCAAATATTTTACTTTGAGGCGGAAAGTTTGGGGCGTTAAGGTGTCAGCAGGGCGTGTACCACTGTCGTCTATGGTAATCAACGGCACTTCACGCACTTTCAGCGTCAACAACGCATTGCTCTGGGGCACAGACACATACACAGTCACACACACAGCAGCCGCCAAATGTGGGCCAATGGCGCTGACCAAGTTGGTCTTCCACTTTGGTAATTAAAGCCATGGAAATCAGTGCAAGGTGTGCAGAAGAAATTGTGACTGGTGAAAGAGGCAGATCAAAAGAAAGAGGGAGGTACGGAGAGATAGTGAGAGAGAGAGAAGGGGGCAGAGACAGTGAGTTCAACAGTTGGCGCCACTTGTTGCTTGTTTCTGGTTTGCCGCGCCTGCATTTCCTGGAATAAAAACGTTTCGAGCTGTTTGATCGCACTTACCCAACTAGGTGTGTCAAACATAAAGACCTCATGTGACCCCATTTAACTTCAAGTGCTCTTTGAAGCATGCTATTCATCATTTTATTATGATTTACATACCTGGAAGAAAATGCAGATAATTTCAAGTAAATATTAAGTTGAAAGAAAAGAAACTTAGACTGATTTAATGGGGTTCGGGGTATTGCCTAGTCGGGCACTCACTCACTAGAGCACTTCTACATGTTCATAACTTCTAATCCCTACTTGACCCAAATGTGCATCTGTAAATATCTGTTGCAGTCAGACTAATTTTGGCTTTGGGTTTCGATAAGCGTGGAACCCAACCCAAAAAGTCACTTAACCTCTATTTCTCGCTTATGTCAATTGCTTTTGCCCGGTTTCGCGGCATAAATCAAGCCAAAACGTAAACATAAATTGAGCTTAAGTATTCGCAAAAACTTATTAATGTGACAATTGACGAATTCGCTAAAAGTAAAGATCGTAGGTAAGACGTCGGTTGACTGTCGTGTCGACTTGTCGGCGGTTGACTTGGTCTAAGCCTTGCGGTTTGGTAGTTCCAATTTTGATGCTTGTGTTATTTGTGTATTCGAATTGATGGCTTAAATGTTAAATTGGTTTGGTTTGCTGCCTGGCAAATGCTTTGCACCGACATTAATTTACAGTTTGTCCATAGTTAAGAACATGAAAACTCATTAAAACATGCTGCAGATAAGCAAAAGCTAACTGCAGCAACGAGAAGAAACTGGCAATACGACGTGGCTATAAGTCAGTTGCCAGCAAGCCACAAAAACACACACGAAACGTGACACAGTCAACAATTTATTGACACTTTTAAGACACTTGGCCAATGCGTATACCCTGTGCACAAATCATTACCTTTAATGGGGTATAGCAGTTCGAGACAGTCGATTTGCAGAGTGATAAAATAGTTTAAGTAAAACCGTTTTGATATTGAGTTTACTCCGTTTTAGTTGGAAAGGAATTACATTCATGCCGTTTAGTTTCTTACAGTTATAAAGTAACTGGTTTAGTTTGACTATTGGACTATTAGTTATCTGAAGGGACTTTATTATACCTATTAAAGCATTGGAAAAGTTCTTTGGACTTCCTATTGAAGTTATTCATAACCTAATAGATTCATTATCTTTCTTCACACATTTTTAAAGTTACTCAGCTACATAAGCAGCGAGTGTAGATCAATCTGATCTGTGTTGGCTTACTATATTACAGATTTACTACTTAAAATTCACTTACTATCAACTATTCACTTCTCAACTATTTTCAGCTCTATGATTAGACTGTAGATCTATCAATCGATATTGAAGACTAACTCTATAAAAGCCATCATCAATACAATATTTATTTACTTAACTTGATATAGATAACACGCCAATAGATAGTTGTTGTCTAGATAACAAATTATTGACTTCAAATGCTTAGTATGTTACAGTTACACTGTGACAGATTATATAACTATCTTAACGATAAATGTTTTAATTCAATTCATTTAATTATGATTTATTGAGAATCATTTACACATATGCATACTCTATATAGTTCTTGTATACGATTTCTAATAGTTTAAATAAGTTGTTGTTGTTATGCTATTGGTGGCAGGGAGGCGACACGTTTTTAAGTCGGCTGATGGATTGATGTGGCTTCACGTGGCCTGCTCGAACACACAGAGGCACTTACACACACTCAGCTTCACACATATGTGCCGGCAAATGTTCTGCCAAGTGAGTCACCCACCAATGTTGTTTGTCACTAATCATTGCTGCACCCCCTTAACCACCACCAGCAACCTCTGAATCCCCTCCATCGACCAGCTCTACCAATACGCGCTCAATGGCCGAATGAGCACAAAATTGGAACCGCATGTAGCACGCAGAGAAACTGAAACCGACAGAAGACAGACGAACGAAAACAAACGATTACAAATTGAAAACTGATTGACTAGCAGATACCCTATACCCCTCTTAAGGTCTTCGGTAATGCGCAAACATTCTGCCTACAAAAACCACTCCATCAATGTGGTTACAGGGTATACGTAAGCAGCGCCCAATGCTGCTGCTGCAAAACATAAGTGGAAGTGCCAACTGCATAAACTCAGACTGTCAGAAGCTACGTCCCTGAAATAATATCGATTTCGCTGCTTGGACTTTGCTGCCTTTGCCTGCTGTTGGCTCTTCAGCTGCCTTTTGCTGCTCCCTCTTTATCTTCTTCGTTTTTTTGCTGCTGCTTCTTCTGTTTGTGCGCTGGTTCCGATTGCCGCATTTGCCACTAAGAAGGCATTCACCTCATTTCCTGGACACGCGGCGCATCAGGCGTTGAAGTGGACAAGCAACAGCAGCTGCAGCTGCCCCATTCCCATTCCTTGGCCCCACCCAAGATAGCCAAAGGCGTTGCCACAGAGACAGAGAGGGATAGAGGGCAGACTGTTGCAGCCACAGATCATTACATAATCAAGCGTCATTGTATTGGAGCTGCAATGCCTATCTTAATATCGATCTGACTGATGACTGATGACTGTTGCTGATGCTAGGATGGGTTTTACTTTCCTTCTCAGCTTACCAGCGCGAATCTTTTCAATCGATCTGCCAATCTCATTACATACAATTCAACACAAATGAAAGTTCCTTAATGGCATCTCAAAAGGAATCAATAATAATTGATCCCAGTAAGGAATTTCAAGGCTATTATGGTTAATCGATGTCTTAAATGAGGAAAAGTAAGTAAATTCATAGAAATTGAAGTGAAATTTGTTTAGGAAATATAAAGAATATTCCTTAGAAACGCTTAAAACGAATAGAGATCATTAAAGAACAATATTTAAATTGTTTTGTTGTTGTAAGATATTCAGTTCTAGTTTCAGTTTAGATCAGGGTCGATGACAAGTCGACGCTAAGTTCTAGCTTACTGTACTCAATAAAAGAAGTTCATCTGACAATCTCAGATATTATTAATTGCTGCTTTCTTGCACAGCATCCATTTAGCTGACTGATCCACTCAACTCGATAATGATCGGGTTTATGAACAACAAAGTTATGCCAAATCTACGATCTATGCCAGTTAGCGAACCAGCTTTTACTTGTTCAAACATGCCTTTCTCAGGCTCAACCACAGAGCGATTATATTCTTTGATATCTTTCTAATCAACTAGTCTGGCAGCAGCCTGAAGGCTTTCAAATGCCATTCAACTTATGTCTTGCGATCGCGTCTAGCAGGATAATCATTATCAGTTAGCACATAATAACTGCAAACTCTGCTCAACTTGAAGAGTCATCCCCGAGGCACGCCGGTGATTAGCGGCATCATAAATTGTTCACTTTATCTGTGCAGCCAGATCGCACGTTGAGTCGACGACGACAACAACAGCAAAACAACTGAAGAAAAGAAAAACAAAAAACTAACAAAAAGAAAAACGAATGTTGCGTAACGGTTCTTAAGCCACCCAGATGAAAAGTTTTCGCAGTTTTCCACCTCTCGAGCTCAGACCATAAATGGCCAACGCTAATTGCTTTGTCCGTCCATGCTCATGGAGCTGTTACTGTAGTTTTCTTTACCACAGTGCACACATATATACAGATATACATTATTGTTTGACCAAATTGTACTGCCTTTGGCTGTTGGCCCCAAATGCAAAATGCAAAGTGCAAATAAATCCAAGTCGAAGAGCAACTCGCAATATGCGATAATTCCAGTATTTGTCTTTTGGCTCCAGGCGCTGGGGATGGCCAATGGTCGATTTATCGATTGTTCGATTACACGATTGAAACTGGGGCTGGCCCTGCACCGCCTGCAGCATATAAATACATATT